GTGGTGCTATCTCAAGTCTTACGCCGATGCACCTGACCAGCCGACTCACCGAGACTTCGCGGTGTCGAGGTACACTATAGATCCGATGGATGTTGAAATGCGAATGCTTCCCTTCGACAGTGCATCCGTTCTGCATTACTTCCCCATACAGCACACGAAGCAATGTCCACCGTTTTTAAGAAACGATCCACAACTGAGTCTCCATCTTGACAAGACGTACTACCGCCTTGGCGACGTCGTTCGTTCTTTAGCAGTACGTTCGTCAATGATGCCGTGTCAATTTTGTCGTAACCTTCGTAGAGATTGGGAAAACGTTGGCACCGGAACGACGTCTGAGTGTACATATTTTGCATCGCAATCCTATCAAAAGCCACAAGAACAAACAATTCGTCTTCTGCAAATCGCCGACTACTTAGCATCGTATAGTACTTGATACACTCCCGTAGTGAAACAGGAACAGTTCTTCTTTCTCCAGGATGGCCACGGCCAAACGGAAAAAGATGTGGGAACATTTTTGCATAAATTGTTCGCATAGGGTCTTCGCAAAAGTGATTTGATCGCTTGACGAGAAAATCACGAACCTTATCAGCCCCAGTTTTAGTTCCAACTTCATTGATCATCGAGGAAAAAGTTCTAGCTGAAGTATCGTCCAAAAGTCCAGTATGTCTCTCTATAACTTCCACTTCCTCGTCCTTCGTAGCGGCAACACTATCTGTTAATCCACGAATGTTCTCTTGCTCTCGATCTGCCTCCGTTTCTAGATTCCAATCATCGTCCAGTATGTCAAAAATATTCTCGCTATTGACATTCGAATTTTTGGGTTCGTCCAGGTGAGTTTATAGGGTTCACTAGTGTAGAAGAGTGGGAAGAGATCGGAATCAATGTCGCTTGCAATAGACTTCGCTAGTGGCCCTCGAGGGATACGAACAATTATTGCTTCCGGTGGTGGGTGTGGGATTTTTACGATAACACCCGATACCCCATCACAAACAAGACGAAACGCCGTTCCCGGCTGGTAGATAATCTTTCCAGGGTGCCAAGAGTTCCGTTTGCAGCGAGTTTTTCAGCTCGTACGTTTTGGGTAATTTGAATTGGCATACCCGGCACTAAATCTAAGTACGGCGCCATTCTCCCAAACTTATTATCAGGTAGAGACATCACTATTTCAATATCGGACCGGCTAAGGCCATTCAGCTTGCCTTTGAAGTTTGCTACAACTCGAACAGGATATTGCCCTTTGGGTAAACGGTATGCTGTCTCCTTAACAAACAAATTGTTGATCGCCTGTCGGGTAAAATTGTCCGGAGTAACAAACGTGGGAAGATTGCCATTTAGCGTGAATCCGACGCTTTTGCCATCTCCATCTTGTCGTATCACTCTTCTATTTATCATATTAACAAATTCAGGAGTCCAAATACCCAAACGAGCCAATCGACACCCTTC